CAAGGTGGGTAGGTCACCTGAGGTCAGGAATTTGAGACCAGCCCCGGCCAACATGGTGAAACCCCATCTCTACTAAAAATACAAAAAATTAGTTGGGTGTGGTGGTGCATACCTGTAATCCCAGCTGCTCGGGAAGCTGAGGCAGGAGAACCATTTGAACTTGGGAGAGGGAGGCTGCAGTGAGGCAAGATCGTGCCACTGCACTCCAGCCTGGGTGACAGAGTGAGACTCCACCTCAAAAACAAAGAAAGAAAGAAAGGGACAGACAGAGAGAGAGAGAAAGAGAGAAAGAGAAAGAAAGAGAGAGAGAGAGAGGGAGGGAGGGAGGGAGGGAGGGAGAGAGACAAAATGCAAACATATAAAATGCTCAATTAAAACCCCAAACAGCTGGGCAGAGGGGCTCAGGCCTATAATCTCAGCATTTTGGGAGGCTGAGGCAGGAGGATTGCTTGAGCCTAGGAATCTGATACCAGCCTGAAAAACAAAGTGGGTCCCTGTCTCTATAAAAAATTTAAAATTTAGCTGGGTGTGGTGGTGTAAATCTGTAGTCTCAGCTACTCTAGAGGTTTCACTGGGAGGATCACTGGAGCCCAGGAGTTTGAAGCCACAGTGAGCTGTGATCATACCATTAGGTTCCAGCCTGGATTACAGAGCAAGACCCTGTCTGTCTCTAACACACACACATACACAGAGCAGAAAAATTGTGGCAGACATACATAGGAACAGAGAACAAAGGCAACAAATAGAAAGCAATAACGAATACAGTAAGTATTAGTCTAAATTTGTCAATAATCACTTTGAACATCAATGGTCTAACTGCAACAATGAAAAGAGATTGTCAGAGTGGTTCAAAAATATGAGACCCAACTCTATGTTGTCCACAAGAAACCCACTTTAAATATAAATACGCCTATAGATAAAAAGTAAATAAACGGAGAAAAATACATCATGCTAACACTAATAAAAAAAATAGGAGTACCTATTTTAATTTTAGACAGAGCAGACTTCAAAGCAAGAAAAGTTTGTTGGCATAAAGAAGAGCATTACGTAATGATAAAGGGTCAATCCTCCAAGAAGACAGAACAATCCTTAACGTGTACGTGCTTAACAACAGAGAGTCAAATTATATAAGGCAAAAAACTGATGGAACTACAAGGAAAAATAGATGAATCCATTATTATAGTGGAAGATTTCAATACCCCTGTATCAGATATGAACAGAACTAGCAGGCAGAAAATCAATAAGGACGTAATTGAACTCAACAACACCATCGGTCATCTTAATAGAGTTGCTATCTATAGACTATTCAACAGCAGCAGAATAAACATTCTTCCTAAACATGCAAGGAACATTCGCCATGACAGACCACATTTTGGGCCATAAAACACACTTTAGCAAATTTAAAATTATATAAATCATACAATATCTACTCTCAGACCACAATGAAATTAAACTAGAAATCAGTAATAGGAAGATAGCTAGAAAATTCCAAAATATGTCGAGTTTAAACAATCCACTTCTAAATAACACATAAGTCAAAGAAGAAATCTCAAGATAAAATTTAAAATATTTTGAGCTACAAGAAAATAAAAACATAACTTACCAAAGTGTATGGGAGGAAGCAAAGTAATGTTTAGAGGGAAATTTGTAGCATTGAACGTATACATTAGAAAAGAAGAAAGACCTAAAAATCAATAATCTAAACTTCTACCTAAGGAAACTAGAAAGAGAAGAGCAAATTAAATCTAAAGTAAGCAAAAGAAAAGAAATAATAAAAGTTAAAGCATAAACTGGTAAAACTGAAAGTAAAAAAATCAGTAATCACACCAAAAGCTGGTTCTTTGAAAAGGTCAACGAAATCAAGGAACCTTTTAGCCACGCTAAGAAGAGAGAGGACACAAATTACTAAAATCAGAAATAAAAGAGGGGACATTTCTACAGATGACATGAACATTAAAAGGATAATAACAAATGCTGTGAACAACTATATCTCACTAATTTCATAACCTAGATAAAACGGAACCCCTTGAAAGACACAATCTGCCAAAACTCACACAAGAAGAAACAATCTGAATAAGCCTGTATATATCAAATACATCAAATAAATAATTAACCCTCCTAAAGTACCCAACCCATAATAATTCCCTGGAATAAACTATGACTATGTTGTTGTTTGCTTACTCTCTGGATGGACTGAGGTTTTTCCTTGCTAGGGAGCTATAACTCTACACACTGATTTCCCTCAAACTTTAGGAAAAGTAAAGAGAACTAACAGAGTCCTAAAACTAAAATTATCAACACATTCAACAAACAGAAATTTCATGGCCCTTCAAATTGCCATTAGTCATGATTGATTGATGACAATAAATCAACCCCTTCTGGAACCCACAGATTATCTCTTCTTGAATTAACAGCCTCCCTCTACCCATGTATTTGAAAATTTTACTTCCAATCCTAGGTTCTACCATTACAGAGTAATATAAATAAATGCTTCATGAGACTTATCATACCTGCCAAATTATCACTAGTAGGTTCAAGTGCATTTTCAAAATACTTGCCTAAACAGACTTTGATTGATCTAAAACCTGGGGATTTGGTCCTTTGGAAAAGGAACCAGAATAAAACTGCTCTTGAGCATTGGTGGAAATAACCTTATCGGGTACTGTTAGCAATTGAGGTAGTGGTTTAAACTCCGAGGTAATGATGTTGGATCCATCGTTTCCAACTAAACATACCACTTTCTTCTGATTGCTGGGCATTTATTCTAACAGAAGACCTAAAACTAAAGATTTTTAGGAATTCTTCAGGAGCTAATATCTGGAGATGTGGACTGCTTTTGCCCAAGACAAAGAAACCACATTATTTTTCTGTTTTTTAAATTAATTTTTAAAATTTTCAGCTCTACCATTAATCTTGCCTTTTATTGTATTTTGACATCCTCTGATGAACCAGTATTGGTAGGGCAATTATAAGAGTACTTATATAAAAACAAAAATGATCTACAATTGCTTTTTTAGACACAGGGTCTAGGTATGTTGCCCAGGCTGGTCAGGAAAAAATGATCTACAAATTTCAATGCTTTAACTGTTAAAAGCAACAAATTACTAATGACTTACCTTACCACTTTTTAAATTCATTAACCTAAAAAACATACAAAAGAGAGACTTCAATCATTATTTGAGTATGAAATAAAATTAAGTATCATTTGAAGGGACTATAGTCAGCCCTCTTAATCATGAAATCTTGGCTTCCTTGAGCTTATCTTTCCATTTATTACTTCAGCATTTATTAGAAGCTTTCATCCATGTATTAACTTGATATTTACTAGGAGCTTCCATCAATTTATTAAATTCATCCATTTATTACTAATATGTTCTAAATAATGTGTTAGACAGTAGGATATGATGACACAGGTCTATGGTGTTTCAGTTTTGTGGATGCAGGCAAGTAAACTATAAAGAGAAGTAATATGGTACTGGGTGCTCTGATACAGGTATGAAGAGAGAGTGTGGGGATAGATAAGAGTAGCCAGTTCTTTATAATGTGTGTGTTTTGGGTGAGATTCAGGAGAATACTACAGGGTGAAAACATTGGTGGAACAGAAAAAAATTTCACAAACTCACAGTTGCAGAATGGCTACAGATCATATAGGAAATGAACCACATACTTCTGTATCTGTAGTCCTCTATGTTGTGAAAAGATTGACTTTTTTTCAAAACAGGTCAAGGAATTTGGTTATGTCAATCACAAAGTTGCCTCTTTTTTTCCTTCTGACATGGTAAAAGAAATAAAACAATCCCATAGGATGTGTTTGGTTGGCCATAGTATATTGATTTATCTTAACCGTCTTAAAACGCATGTCAAGGACACCACTGAGCCTTCTGAGTTCCATTAGAAAAATTGGGTAGTCTGGAAGTGTTCTAAATTGGACCGTTTGGGGTTTCTGTTAGAGCAACTTTCCCATTTACATCTTGGAACAGAGCCTTTTGAATATAGCCCTTCGGGATTGGTGGGGAGAAGGGATCGCGATGGAAAAAGTCATCATCCAAAGAATGAAGAGGGAGGATCCAACATTTAGGATATTTTATTGACGTGCTAGGCGCGTTTACTTTATCTTCGTATTAACCCCATTTTCTTCATTAACCAATTGATGCTGTGAAAAGCTATGTAACTTGACCAAGGTCAAACAACAAGTAACAAACAGCAGTACCCAGAACTGTGTTTTTTTTTTTTTTTTTTCTGCTGGACTCGGTCTTTTCCACTCAAAACCAACAAAAAACCAAAACTTGTTTTTTTCCACATCAAAGGCAAACAACCCAAACCCCAACCCCAAGAGCCCCACCCTTTCAAAAGGGCTTCTCCGGATCACTAAGTCCTAGAGGTCTTTGGCTAGGCCTGGGTCCGATCTAGATAGGAAGGTGATTCTAGTGTTCCACAAATCCTTGCCAAATTCCATCCCGGCCAAAGCAGGGGCCCAGGAGCCTCTGGTCGCACCCGAGGCAGGTCGTTAAATACTCAGGGCACGTGCTGCGGATGGAAGTGCCGACCCACTGCTCAGGTACGCGCACACCTGTCGCCGCTGGGTGCGCGCCGCGGGGAACTGGGTACGTGCTCCGCGCGCGCGCGCCCGACAAAGTTCCCCGTACGTGCGCCGTACGTGGGCGCGGTGCCCTAGCGCTCAGCGTTTCAGCGAGTGAGTGGGCTCCATGCCGAGTTGAAGTCTGGGAGGGGCACTTTTCCAGGCCATCGCGGCTCCCCCTGGCGGCGGACGTGCCGCGCTGGAGGGGCGCAGTCAGGCGTTCTCCGCGGGCAGCCGGCGGCGGGGCCTTGCCTTTTAGCGCGGGGTCCTCGGCGGCCTGGGTGGCTACTGCCCCTGCTGCTGTCGTAGGCGAGGACGGCTGTTAGTGCTGCTGCTGTTGGTTCGTCGCGGCGGCGAAGGAGGAGGAGGAAGAGGGCGAGGCGACAGGGGAAGAAGGAGGCAGGCGCGGCGGCAGCGGCGGCGCCCCGGGCCGGCGGAGGCGAGGGGGGGGAAGATGGCGGACGTGCTTAGCGTCTTGCGACAGTACAACATCCAGAAGAAGGAGATTGTGGTGAAGGGAGACGAAGTGATCTTCGGGGAGTTCTCCTGGCCCAAGAATGTGAAGACCAACTATGTAGTTTGGGGGTAAGTCCGGCATGGCTGTGCCAGGGGTGGCAGGGCAGAGTTGGGCGCCCCCAGGCGACCTCTTTCTTAACCCCTCCCCCCCGTTTCCCCTGGGGATGGGATAAAACGGGTGTTCGGGGAGAAGAAAGTTTCTCTCTAGAGCAGAAGTTGCACTTTTAGGGTAAGGAAAGAAGGGGCGGAGCTCTAGAGCAGTTCATCCCTTTAAATTTTTGAGAAGCCCAAAGGAAAGGTACCGTGGGAGTTTTTGACTTTTACAGTTAATTTTTACCAATAGGTATCGTGTACCAGCGAAGTGTGGGGCTGGTGCACAAGGATACCTGAACATAGGTGCACAAAGGAGCACACCGTCTGGTGCCATGGTCGTCTCTTTTTGTTCTTTATTTTTTCTCTCTTCCAGGCTGCTCCTCTGGTCCTTGCAACTCCTAGTTTATTTCATCTCCTTTCGTTGTTGGGGAGGGGGTTATTCCTGTAGAAGAGAGAAGGGAATCAACTCTGAAGTTAGGACCGGAAAGAAATTTGGTGAATTGGGAAAAGTCGCTAAAGTTTGTGTTAAAGAGGTCTTCAGGAGTTGGTGAAATGAGTGAGCTTTTCAGATCTAAGAAATAGATGGTGCGTGTGATTTTCGAAAGTGTATTTTAAAGGGAAATGTTTTGGAATGTTGGTCCATGTGAAGTTTTATCAGTTTAAGTCATTCAGGAAAACTTATAGAGACGGGTCTAACAGTCATTAGGGGCCTTTTTAATGATGTCACTGTCATTGGTGCGTCGCTTGTAGAATTAGAACCTTGAGCTAGAACTTCCCTACTCATTTTGTTTCTTTGAATGGAAGCTTTGTGAAGAGTCGATGAAAAACTAGGGAAATTTAGTTTGTTGGTTGGCATTTATTTATTTATTTAGTTTTGAGAGGGAGACTTGCTCCGTCGCCCAGGCTGGAGTGCAGTGGTGTGATCTTGGCTCACTGCAACCTCCGCCTCCTGGCTTCAGGTGATTCTCTTACCTCAGCCTCCTGAGTAGCTGAGATTACAGACCCCCGCCACCATGCCCTGCTAATTTTTGTATTTTAGTGGAGATGTGGTTTCACCATGTTGGTCAGGCGGGTCTCGAACTCCTGACCTTAAATGATCTGCCCGCCTCTGCTTCCCAAAGTGCTGGGATTACAGGCGTGAGCCACCGCGCCCTGCCTGTTGGTTGGTTTAAAAATTTTTTTGTCTTATGGTTTAATTAGCTTTATAAAATGTTGATCAAATGACATTCTGAGTTTCTGGTGTTTTACCCTTTCAAATGATTTGCATAGATAGAATTACATTTGGTTGGATTTTTAATGAATTTTTTTTTCTTTAAACAATGGCTTAAGGAGAACCTAGGGTGTGAAGTGGTTCAATCTGAGGATTAAAAAAATTCCTAAGACTCTGATTTCTACCTCAAAGGAGGTTAATTTAGTCTGAATAGAGGAGATTAAACAGATAAGTTGATGTGAAATGATTTCTATAATAGTTTGTGAAGACAGCAGTCATTTCTAGTTGGAGTTATTTAGGGAAAGTTCCATAGAATTGTCTTTGGCAAGTTCACATCCAACAAAGTTTTCTTGAATGATTGAATGAACAAACAGATAAGCTTTAAAGAATAGATAGAAATTTTCTGGGTGAAATGATGGGTTAAGTCTTCCAAGATGAGTGAACTGTATGCTTAAAGGCATAAAGAACTGGAAAGTAAATGTGTTGACAGCAATTCAGTGAAGCCAGTGTAAAAGGATTGCTTAGTACAGTAGATTTTAAACTTTTTCAACAGTGAATCACACCAAGAAATTATTTTGATTTTCTATATGTGCACATACACACGTAAATATATACAGATGTAAAACACAAAACAATGCTTACTCTTCTTATTGCATGCAGTGCATTTTATTATTTTTCTCTTCTATTCTGAAAATAGAAAAAATATGGTTGTTAACTGTTTATTGGGTTTCATGGTACAATAATTGATAGTGGTGTGTGGTTTGAAATGCATTGGTTTAGAGGAAAAGTGGGACTAGAAGCTAGAAAAGTAGGTTTAGGGCTGATTATAGTGGGCCATATTCAGATGGATTCAAAGATACAGAAGGGACAAATGTAGTAGGAAGGGTAGGATTGGAATGCGGTAATATTGGTACCTGCGTTAGAGATCTTGCACTGTTAGTAGACTACATTGTTTTATCACAGATAGAATAGCATTTTGGTTTTACATTACTGGTCTAATTTGAGGGATGCCCTAACAGTTATACCCCTGAAATTCTGTGTTGTGTTTACTGTAAGAATGTGAAGGATGTTGTTCAGCCGTATCTTATTTAGCAAGAGCCATAGGATAAATTTCTTTCACATTTAGCTCCAGTGATAATTGTGCTTCTTCTAAGCAGTTTAATTGTTTTCTCTTATGGATCCTCTTCAATATGGATCTGGTTAGATTTCTTTATTGATAAAGCCCAGAGCCTAATTTGGGCCTGATTCTAAAAAGTGTGTAGTACCTTAGAGTATGAATTTTTTGTATTTTCCCTATTTCTTGCTTTTTGTCATTGCCTTCCTTTGTGTTTCTTTTGTGATTATGACAGTCTATTCATTATTAGATTTTATACTTTTTTTGGTAGCTATGTTGAACTCATTGTTAGATAGCAAAGTTGTGTAGATAAATGAATCCAGCCTGAAGAGTTGAATTAGAGTTGTGAGTAAAATCCTTGCCTTAATTATTTCAGGACTGGAAAGGAAGGCCAACCCAGAGAGTACTACACATTGGATTCCATTTTATTTCTACTTAATAATGTGCACCTTTCTCATCCTGTTTATGTCCGACGTGCAGCTGTAAGTAGAATTCATTTTACTTATCTATTTATTTATCAGTTTTATTTTTATTTATTTAAGAGACGGGGTCTGATCCTGTTGCCCAGGCTAGAGTACAGTGGTGTGATCATAGCTCATTGCAGCCTTGAACTGCTGGGCTCAAGTGATCTTCCCACCTCAGCCTTCAAGTAGCCAGGACTACAGGCCTGTACCACCATATCTGGCTAATTTTTTTTTGTTGTTCTTAAAGATGAGGGGGTCTTGCTGTGTGGCGTAGGCTGGTCTTGAACTCCTAGCCTCAGTGGATCCTCCTGCCTCAGCCTCCCAAAGTGCTCGAATTACTGGCATGAATCACTGTGCCTGGCCAATAATTCATTTTAATACTTTTTTTTTTTGAGATAGGGTCTGGCTCTGTTGCCTAAGCTGGAGTGCATTGGTGTGATCTCGGCTTACTGCACCCTCCCCTTCTCGGGCTCAAGCCAGCCTCCTACCTCAGTCTCCTGAGAAACTGGGACTACAGGCATGGCCTACCATGTCAGACTAGTTTTTGTATTAACACTTTTTGTTTTTTTTGGCTTCATGGTAGTAGGTATCATTTGGAATGGATAGCTTCCTTCATGGGTTTCAAATCAAAAGAATGAAAGGTTTGTATGAATGTCTCCAGGCGAGTCAAAACTAGGCTACTGTGTGATTTACATAGACTTTTTAATCTGTGATATTTTTTCATGTAAAGTGTGGGTAATGTTTATAACAAAGGAAGTTTTAAAGGGATTTTTAGAGCCAGGCTTCTTAGTGCACACTGGTAATCCCACCTGCTTGGGACTCTAAGGTGGTAGGGTTGCTTGAGCCTAGGAGATCAAGACCAGCCTGGGCAACATAGTGAGATGCCATCTCAAGAAAAAGAAAACTCAAAATGCTAAAGGTATTTATAGAGATGTTTAGAAAAACTTTTAAGTGTGTGGAAGGACCCTGTTACTTCAGAACTCTTGTTTAATCTCAAGAAAACTTTTTTTTGGTTGTAAGGATCAAGATTAGCAGACATTTAAAAAAATTCTTTCTGAATCAGTTTTGTGCAGCTGTTTTAATACTCTGGAGAAGTTCATTTGTTTTTAGTTTTGCTTGCTTTCTCAGTGTTTGAAAATTTATTACTCAGAGGAAATCTTTGGAAACAACTTGAAAAGAACTGATTTCATAAACTATGATGATGAGATTCTTCATCTGTAGGGAAGTATCATTAAGACCTAAATTATAGCAGTATATTATAATTGATAAGTAAATAAGATTCAGATTTATTTGGATAGGATAGCTGTATGACATGGAAAAGTGCTATAATGCCCACATAAAATGGCTTAAAAGATATTTAATTTTTTAAAATGAGCTTTTCCCTCAGATTATTTTTGGTAGAGTTGAACATATAATTTTTTTGAAGATATAATTGAAATAAAAGTCTGCTTTTAATATTTGTTCCTTTTGCTAACTTACAAGTATATACTTAAAATTAAGTATGAAATGTATTTATAAATAACTGCTTTTTCTCATTTCTTATAGTTCTTAAAACAATTTTCTTAAACTTTTCTTATAGTTCTTAAAACAATTTTTTTAAACATCATTGTGTCTGTCATCACTGGAGCTGCTTTTTGATTTACCTAACACAGTTGCTGGGTCACATTAAGCTGTGTGAAACTTAACTTTTATAACGCTAACCTTGCTCCCAACTAGAAATAGTTAAGGTTTCTGGCTTATGTATCTTTCAAACAGTAACTTGTTATTTGAAGCAACTAAAAGCCGGGTGTGGTGGTGCATGCCTGTAGTCCCAGCACTTTGGGAGGCTGAGGTGGGAGGATCACTTGAGCTCAGGAGTTCAAGACCAACCTGGGCGGCATAGGGAAACTTTGTCAAAACAAAAAATAGAAAAAAGTTAGTCAGGCGTGGTAGTGTGCACCTATACTCCCAGCTAACTACTCAAGGGGCTGAGGTGGGAGGATCACTGGGCCCAGGAGGTCGAGGCTGCAGTAAGCCATGATTGTACCAATGCATCTATCCTGAGTGATAGAGCAAGACTCTGTCTCAGGGAAAAAGTGTGTGTGTGTGTGTGTGTGTATGTGTGTGTGTATAGCAGTTGAGAAAGTATCCTGTCATTTAGTGGGCTTTGTATTAAACCATAAGGCTTCTGCTTTCCTGAGCGAGAAATACGTATTTATGTTACATATTAAAAAAAATAAAGTTAGAGCGGGACTACTTGGGAAATAATGGGAAAAAATAGCACCAGCTCCCTCTTTAAGGTTATTTTAACTCAGATCTTTAAAAACTAAATTAGGTAGTTCTTACAGTGTTGTGTTGGATATAGTCATTCATTTTAGTATAACAAAGATTCAGATAGTTGGCTTAGATTTATAGATTCTGTTTTTGGGAAATGGTTGTACGTATAACTGATAGCTGTAATTGTTTCTGTGGACCTTGGGACCCTCAGTTGCTTAAGATTTAATTCTTATTTTTCTTAAGTATTTGCCAGATTGAAAGAGTAGGATTCTAAAATTCCAAAGTTCTGTGAAGTTGAGATTGTTGTTTCCTAATTACTTGGTGTTATTTGCTGTTTTTTGTGCGCAGACCACTCTTTTTTTTTTTTTCCCCCCCCGAGATGGAGTCTTGCTCTGTCACTCAGACTGGAGTGCAGTGGCGTGATCTCGGCTCACTGCAACCTCCACCTTCTGGGTTCAAGGGATTCTCCTGCCTCAGCCTCCCAAGTAGCTGGAATTACAGGCACACCCCACCATGCCTGGCTGATTTTTTGTATTTTTAGTAGAGACGGGGTTTCACCATGCTAGCCAGGATGGTCTTGATCTCCTGACCTCCTGATCCGCCTGCCTTGACCTCCCAAAGTGCTGGGATTACAGGCGTGATCCACGTGAGCCACCGCGTCTGGCTGAGCAGACCACTCTTAAAACAGATATTCCTGATCCTTAGCTCCTACTTTAGTGTGAGTAGATGTAATCTTTTTCAGTGGACTGTAATGTGTACATAACTCAATAGTGACCAAATGATGACGTAAGTTATTAGACTTAGAAACAGTAACTTAAAATTAACCCAAATCTTTTAGCTGTTTATGGTGTTCCATGTAGACTGGTTTATTTTTATTTATTTATTTTTTTTGAGACAGAGTCTTGCTCTGTCACCCAGGCTGGAGTGCAGTGGCAGGATCTTGGCTTGCCACAGCCTTGCCCTCCCGGGCTCAAGCTGTCTTCCTGCTTCAGCCTCCTGAGTAGCTGGGACTATAGCTGGGACTGCATGCGCTTGCCACCATGCCTGGCTAACTTATATTTTTATAAAGATGGAGTTTCTCCGTATTGCTCAGGCTGGTCTCTAACTCCTGGGCTCCAGTAGTCAACCCACCTTGACCTCCCAGAGTGTTAGGATTACAGGTATGAACCACCATGCCTGGCCTAGACTGGTTTAAAAGAATACAAGCACAAGAAAACTCTGCACTCAAACTTTTGAACTCAGAAGGAGAAACTAAAATTTAGCTTGACCTTTTTAAAATAGAAGGTTCATTTTTAAGTGATTAAATACAGTTTATCTAAATCATTGAGGAATCAGAGCAGAATGTTTGGTGCAGTGAAATATAGGAAGTATTCAATATAAGCTCATTAGTCAAAGATACTAAAGGTTCTTGTTGTTACTTCATTGTTACACATATAAAATAACAAAGGATTTACACTGGAATCTCTCAGCTACCAATTTTTCTTGCACTGTTTGTTTGTGTTTGAGACTGGGTCTTGCCTCAGTCTCCCAAGTAGCTGGGATTATAGGTGCCTGCCATCACGCCTGGCTAATTTTTGTTTTGTTTTTTTTTTTGAGACAGAGTCTCACTCTGTCACCCAGACTGGTGTACAGTGGCATGATCTCAGCTCACTGCAACGTCCGCTGCCCAGATTCAAGCGATTCTCCTGCCTCAGCCTCTCGAGTAGCTGGGACTACAGGCGCCCGCCACCATGCCTGGCTAATTTTTGTAGTTTTAGTAGAGATGGGGTTTTACCATCTTGCTTAGGCTGAGCTTGAACTCCTCACCTCATTTTTCCACTCGCCTCGACCTCCCAAAGTGCTGGAATTACAGGCGTGAGCCGCTGCGCCTGGCCTAATTTTTGTATTTTTAGTAGAGATGGGGTTTCACCATGTTGGCCAGGCTGGTCTCGAACTCCTGACCTCAAGTGATCCGCCCACCTCTGCCTCCCGCAGTGCTGGGATTACAGGTGTGGGCCACCGTGCCTAGCTGTTGCTTTATTTATAATAATTATCTTCTGTATATCTTCCTGGAATTTAATAAATACATTTATTTATTTATTTATTTATTTATTTAGAGACAGAATCTTGCTCTGTTGCCTAGGCCGGAGTGCAGTGGCACAATCTCGGCTCACTGAAACCCCCACCTTCCGGGTTCCAGTGATTCTCCTGCCTCAGCTTCCCGAGTAGCTGGGATTACAAGCTTGCGCCACCACATCCAGCTAATTTTTGTCTTTTTAGTAGAGACAGGGTTTTGCCATGTTGTCCAGGCTGGTCTTGAACTCCTGACCTCAGGTGATCCACCCGCCTCGGCCTCCCAAAGTGCTGGGATTACAGGCGTGAGCCACCGCACCCAGCCAAGAAAATTATTAAAAGTAACATGTTTAATAAATTTTCAGGATTCTTATTAGGTTCTTTTAGCCTAGTCATTTTTTACAAATGTGATTTAAAATATATTTTATCAAGATATGTTGAAATAAAATTCCAAAATTGCATGCTAATATTTATCAAGTTGTAAGAAAATTATTAAAAGTAACATGTTTAATAAATTTTCAGGATTTTTATTAGGTTCTTTTAGCCTAGTCATTTTTTACAAATGTGATTTAAAATATATTTTATCAAGATATGTTGGAATAAAATTCAGACATTATGTGTTAGTATTTATTAAGTTGTGTATCATTATTATTCATTTCATATCTCATTGAAAATTTTGGCTTTAGACTGAAAATATTCCTGTGGTTAGAAGACCTGATCGAAAAGATCTACTTGGATATCTCAATGGTGAAGCGTGTGAGTACTTTTTAAATTGTTCCCACCCTTAAACAGACATTATTTCTTTTTTCTCCTACGAAATAATGATTAGTGGGAAGCGAATTTGTATTTCCACTAAAAAATTAACCTACCTTCATTTTTGTCCATGTGCTCTTCTCTTTTTTATACAGTGAATGCACTGTCTTTGCTCTTAAGGCCAGTCACCCCTTCCTTGTGTGTGGATTCCATCTCCTTTCACAGTCTCAAAGACTTTGTCTTCGTAAGTTGTTTCTCTCTTACATCATCAGTTTTCTACTTTCTTCTGGATCATTCCCTTTTAGAATACCTACAGTAAGATTGATCCCACATTCCTACTGTTTACTGCTTTGTTTATCTTCTCCCTGATACGGTAAAATTCTTTGCAAGGGGTTGTGTGGTATCACTGCTGCTTCTTAACCTTTGTTTCTTTCTTGAAGCCACTCTAGTCTGGCCTTCATCCTTACCATCCCACTAAAATCACTCCTTGTAAGGTCAACACTGATTTAACGATTGCTACATCCTTTGGTCTCTCGTACCATACTTGACCTCTCAACAGCATTTGACACTGTTGACCACTCATTTTTGAAAGCCTTTCTTCATTTGGCATTTGGAACGCCAGATTCTTGGTTCTCTTTCTAGTCATTGTTCCCCTCTCAGTTTATTTTGGTTACTTCTGTACCTGACCTCTAATTCTTGAAGTTTCCAAGACTTGATCTTTTTTTTCTCTTTTCTTTTACCCTTATTCTCTAGGTGATCTCTTTCTGTTTTATGCCTTAGATATCATATATAAGCTGATAAAATTCCAAGTTTTTTTTCAGCATTGACTTCTTCCAGGGCACCAGATTTATAAATTTACTGTGAACATGTTTCCTTGGTTGTTGAATAGGCATTCAACAATTTAACATATTGAAACTGGAATGCCTGATTCCCTCTTTCCCTTCTGCCCTCACACAGAACAAAAACAAGTCTGCTCTTTCCTCAGTGTTCCCACTTTAGTAAGGGGTAGTGGTACCCTATTCCTGCAGTTGCTTAGGCCAGAACTCTGGTGAAATCTTTGTCACATCTCACTTCCATTCTATCAGCAGGTTGTTTTTTTCTGTCTTTAAAAGTATGACAGTTTCTTACCATTCTACCCACCCTATTTCATCCTTCCTTTTTAGATTATTGTATAGCTTCCTCACAGATCCCCACTCTTTTTTTCCTATAGTGTAATCTTAGCAGTAAAGAGTGTCCTGCTTTTGAAAAAGTATATAAACTTGATTGTGTCACTCTTAGAATAAAACTCATACTTGTTACCTTGGCAGTGATCTTGCCTCTGCCTAAATCTCTGTGACTTCATCTTCTACCAGTCTTCCTTTGCGCATAACAGTCAGTCTTTTTTATCTTTTAGCTATGCCAATCTTAGCGCCTTTGCACTTTCTCTTCTATCTTGAGTTCTCGTTCTCTGCATTATCACATGGTTCACTCCCTTACTATTTCTTTTAGATCCATGCTCAAGTGTTTTTCCAAATGTTGTTCCATCAGAGAAGACTTCTCTGACTACTCTAAAATATAATATCTCTTTCCCCCTTCTGTGGTTGTTATGTAGTGCCATCCTGATTTATTTTTCATCAAATCTGGTACATGGACCTGAAATTATATGTCTGTTTATGTACATAGTGTCTGTCGTTCCCATTAGAAGGTAAATTCTAAGGGGACAGACAGTCATTTGTCTTGGTAAATACCCAGCATTTAGAATAGTGGTGCATGGTAGGTTCTTAGTAAATGAATAATTATTAATTTACTCTCTTACAGAGTACAAACACGTTGGTATAATAGAACTATTGGATCTTACTTTGCTGAGTGTGGAGTGTAGTACCTTTAAGTCATTAATACCTGTCTTGTCGTGCATGGCTTTAAGCAGTAAGATTGATTTCCACAGAGAATCTTGTGTATAATGGAAAGATCATCATTAGGAATGCTTTCTTCCTATGCTATCCTCATTCAATAAGGACTTATTACATGCTTATTCTTAAAGGCATTATGCATTGTGCAAAATGCCAAATCCCTGTCTTAAACATGTAAACATGCTTACTGTCATGCAAGGGAGACAAACACAAAAGTTTAGAACCCAGCAGTATTGAAGAGGGAGTCTCAATTCTGTGAAGAGGATAGAGTTGGGAAGGATAGAAGAAACTTTTTTATTTTTATTTTTCTTTCAGAGATGGGGTCTCACTACATCGTTCAGGCTGGTCTTGAAGTCTTGGACTCAAGCAGTCCTCCTTCCTTGGCCTCCCAAAGTATTGGGATTGCAGGCATGAGCCACTGCGCCCAGCCATTTTTTTTTTTTTTAAATCAAAGCAAATTTGATTCTTTGGAGCAGTGTTTCTCTAACTTTTTAAATGATGGTTCATATGGTTTGAAAATAGTGTGTGTGTTTGTTTGTTTATTTTTGGCCTCAGAAGATGTGGTATGAAGTCTAAGATTCTCTATTCTTAAGCGTCACAGGCGAGCCTGATAAATAGGCTAGTTTTGGGGAAGCGCTTCAGAGCAAATGGTTTTTCTTTTTAGAATCAAAAGTAGAGTTGCCCTGTATCCACATATGTCATTTCCTGTAGTTTCTATAGGACAAATTTAGTCACTAAGCATATTGCTTTGCTACTTTTTAACGACTGTTAATTTAATAGTTTAATGAAAAGGTTGAGCAAATATTAAGACTGTATTCTTAGGAAGACTAACAGGTAAAGACGTTAGTTCTTAATTTATACATTTAACATGGTCTCAGTAAGAATCTCTGGTTTTTCTTGAGATAGGAGTAGAACTAGACAAGGTAATTCTAAAGTTCATTGGCAAAAGTAAGCATCCTAAAAATTTGTAGAAGAGCATTGAGAAAAGGCTAGTCATTCTAGAGAACTTAAAACCCTGATAATTAAAAAAAAACTAAATGAATAGATACACTAATAAAACAACTTTATCTGTTAGATGAGAAATCTATATGTGAATTTAACATGTTAGTAAAGAGACATGTCAGGTCAATGGGAGAAAGGTGGGATTATTCAGTTACAAGCTGATAAAAGTAGTAAAGTTCTGTACTATAAAAAACAAAAGACATGACACACTGGGAAAATATATTAATATTTCAACTCATCACAGATAAAGGGCTAATCTCACTAATATATGAAGGGTCTTAGAACTGTATGCATAAAAGACCACTCTGTGGATTATGTCATAAATTCACAGAAAAGGTGATAAAATCATGAAAAATGCTTAATTTCATTTATAGTAAGAGAATTGCAAATTTGAACTATACAGAGATAGGATTTTTTTTTTAACTGATAGACAAAAATCTATAAATTTGATAATGTGGTCTGGTGGAGCAGTGAGAAAACAGATATTCTACTATATTGTCGGTTATAATGTTAGTCAGTACACCACTACACTCCCACTGAAGAATTGGCAGCAGTCTAACATTACAAATTTAACATAGAAATAAATCCTGTGTCTAGAACTTTATCCTAGAGGTATATTTTGTTTAGCTTTTGTTTACCAGTTGTGAATAACTAAAAATTACACGTGTAGGGCGAATGCTAACTTTATTTTATTTTATTTATTTTTATTTACTTATTTTTTTGGGACGGAGTCTCGCTCTGTTGCCCAGGCTGGAGTGCAGTGGCGCAGTCTCAGCTCACTGCAAGCTCTGCCTCCCGGGTTCATGCCATTCTCCTGCCTCAGCCTCCCAAGTAGCTGGGACTACAGGCGCCCACCGCCACACCCGGCTAATGTTTTGTATTTTTTTTAGCAGAGACAGGGTTTTACGGTGTTAGCCAGGATGGTCTCGATCTCCTGACCTCGTGATCCACCTGCCTCAGCCTCCCAAAGTGCTGAGATTACAGGCGTGAGCCACCACGCCCTGCTGGTGAATGCTAACTTTAAAAAAATCTTGCCATTATATATGTGTGTGTGTGTGTATATATATGTGTATATATATGTACATTTATATATTTATGAAAATATATGACATGACTTTGTATTAATATATTGTGCCATTGTTTGTAATGACAGAAGACTAAAATTGAACAGCTCGTCAACAGGGACCTAGTGAAATAAATTGTAGTTAGGCCATACAGTAGAGTACTCAGTAACTATAAAAAAAAGAGTTAAGGAGGGCCTGACGCGGTGGCTCACGCCTGTAATCCCAGCACTTGGGGAGGCCAAGGTGGGTTGATCACAGGGTCAGGAGATGGAGACCACTCTGGCTAACATGGTGAAACCCCGTCTCTATTAAAAATACAAAAAAATTAGCCGGGCGTGGTGGCATGTGCCTGTAGTCCCAGCTACTCTGGAGGCTGAGGCAGGAGAATGGCGTGAACCTGGGAGGCGGAGCTTGCAGTGAGCTGAGATCGCCACTGCACTCCAGCCTGGGTGTCAGAGCGAGAATCCATCGCAAAAAAAAGTTAAGGAAATGCTCTACTTACTGATCTAGAGGGATATGGGAGATAAGTTGTTAGGTAAAAAAGAAAACGGTTTAGAACAGTATGTTTAGTATGTCACCTTTTGTATTAAAAAGGGTAAAAATAATTTCGTATTTCTTCTATCTACAGAAAGAAATTCTAGAAGGATATGTAAGAGACTAGTTGGCTGCATAGGGTGGTGGGAACTAGGTGAATAGGGACAGGTATACTCCTTTTTGTTGAGCCATTCAAAAATTAATTTAATTTTAAAAGTAATTTAGTTTTTACCAGTTGTGAATAAATGAAAATTGCATGTTTAGGGTGAATGCTAACTTTAAGAAAATCTTGCCCATATATATGTTTGTGTATATATGTTTATGTATTTACTTATTTATGTTTAGAGATACCTTTTTAGGTATCAATGTTATGATGTTGGAGCATATACTTTGAAGCAACTAATTTCAGTCAGATCATCTCAGTAATTTGTAAGCTGAATTGGTAAAAATAGTTTGTCCTCTTAGAGACTTTGTAGTATAGATTAGTCTTTTAATAAAATGTTTTTGCAGAGCTGTTTTAAAACTGAACTTTTTACCGAGAGAAAATCACCATATAGAAGTATATAAAAAACTTAAAGCATTTCACTTGTAATAATACCCAATATGTATGTTGAAATAGTAATCCTTACATGAATCTTTTTATATCTTCAGCAACATCGGCAAGTATAGACAGAAGCGCTCCCTTAGAAATAGGTCTTCAGCGATCTACTCAAGGTATGTCTTGTTGCATGTTTATATTGAACTTTCAGAAACCCATTCCAAACTACACATTTATTTATTATAAATAATAAATAAGTTCTCTTTCTTTTATAGTCAAACGAGCTGCAGATGAAGTTTTAGCAGAAGCAAAGAAACCACGAATTGAGGTAAAGAAACTTGATTTTAAACAATTTTATTTATATTCTTATTGAAATCGGGATTCTGTAGTAACAAAGATTCTTTGATTGCAGTAACTTGAGAAGCTGTTTTTCTGGGAAAAATTTTTGTGGTAGAAAGAACAATTGATTAATAAGTAACTCAAGCTATAGTTTTAAGCTCTCACACATGCAAGCTATGTGATGGACAAATCATTTTATTTTCTTTGCTTTTATATTCTTATTGAAGAACATTGGCTCAAGGGTCAGAATTCTTTTTCCTTTCTTTTCTTTCTTTCTTTTTTTTTTTTTTTTTTAAGGCAAAATCTTTCTCTGTCACTCGGGCTGGAGTACAGTGGTGTCATCATAGCTTACTGTAGCCTCGACCTCCGGGGCTCGAGTGATCCCCCCACCTCAGCCTCCGAGCAGTTGGGACTGCAGGTGCCTGCCACCATGCCTGGCTAATTTTTTTTTTTTTTTTCCAAATAGAGACAGGGTTTTTAAAATACAGACTTTCTTTATGAAAGGCCAGATAGTAAATATTTTAAGCTTCATGGGCCATATAGTTTATGTTGCAACTATTTAATATTGTAATGTGAAAGCACTCATAGACAATACATAAATGAACAGATGTGGCTATGTTTCTATAAAAAACTTCAGAAAACAGATGGCGGGCAAGAATTGGTCTTTGGGATGTAGTTTGCCTACCTTTGAAACAATGTGTTATGGGTACTTGCTTTACTGCTCAGAGCTGCGAACACGAAGTACCTACTACTTTAATGTAATTTTAATTAAGGATATTCTGAGACATGGATCTGATATTTTTTAAGAGAATGATAATTGATTCATTGTTACTGCTCTATGCTATGTGTTATTCTAAGTACTTTATATGTATTAACTCATGTAATCTGATTTGCTCATAGATGATATGCACAGTACTCCCAGAACTCATTAAGTTGGTAGAACCATGCATGTCATCTATGAGCGAATAGGCTCAGACAGAGTAAGTGAATTGCTGAGGTTTGAAGAACCAGTTGGAACCTTGGCAGTCTGGTTTCTAGCCATTCCACTAGGTATAAATTTTGTGGTAGTAAAACTGAATATTTCCCCTTATATGAAAGGAGATTGTGACCTGTGGTTAAACAGTGTGTATGAATTTAGGGATACCATTTATTTGATCTCAAATTCCTGGCCTCAAGCAATCTGCCCACCTCGGCCTCCCAAAGTGCTGGGATTACTGCCATGAGCCACTGCACCCAGCTCAAGGGATGCCATTTATTTGAAACAATCTGAACACCACAGTCTGTTTGAAAAAATTCAATGTGGCAGAAGTCCTAGTTTCCTGGGATTCCAGTAACTTAAAAAATCAGCAGGAAATGGCATAATACATTTTTTTTTCAAATCATTTGTAGGGTTGAAATGTGTTACATAAACAGCTGCGGTTTTCAGCATTTGTTTTCAGTTCAGTGTATGTCTTTTGAGGACCTGTAAGGAACTGTACTAGGAAAGAGAAACTGAGGGCAGAGTTTCTGATTTGATAAAAATCTAGGCCGCAGTTGTCTTTAAAATTGGTAGTTTCGTGAGGAATTTGAGTAATCTGGGCTATATCTTTATTGCATGTGAAAAAGTTGGATGCATTTGCCAAAATATTTTTGCATTTATTTCAGCCGACGTATTCATTTTAAGATTTTTACATGGTAGATTCATAATAGGACATGAATTGGAGCCCAGCACCTTTTTGGATCTCTGGAGTATGCTGATGCTTTTTATACAGTTTTGTATTCTGTTAGTCATAGTCATTGACTCTGGTCCTCAGTTTTGTTATTTGTTGAATGTGAACATTAAACTAAATCAGGGTTACCAGATTTTGTTTTGTTTTTAACCACTTGCTTTTCAGACTAAGTTTTACTTGACATCATAATATGTGAATTAGATAAAAGCTGAGCTACCAGGGTTGAATTTCAGACAAGATCTTGAAGTGGCCCATGAGGCATTTAGTTGGAAGTTTCTAACGTTCTAAGGATCATCCTTTGAAAATCTTTAAGGTTTTCCTTTAAAGCATTTTGATTAGTGCTAATGGATTCAGGACCTGTAGCAACAGAAGAAAAAAAAATGGAGATGCCAAAATGAAATTTTTGACTTTGGTGAAGGCTTGTCATAACATTTGGTTATTAACTTTCTCAAAAAGATGAATTTATTTGTTGTGTCTTTCTGAAGAAAATCAGCTATGATATGGGAAGAACACTTAATCATAAAGAAAAAAGTGGCTAAGCAAGTTTTTCTTAAGCTATTAGATGATTCCAGTCTTTAGATTCAACGTATATTTATTGTTACTATCTTTTGGTAGCTAAAAGTTTTAGTCTTGAAGTTGGCCTAAAGACACTGGTACCTAGAATTGTAGAGGTAGGAAATTTGGTAAGGAAAAGTTATATGTAGTGTTTTTTCTTCTCAAAAGTTAAATAAAAATTTAAAATGCCTTAACCAGTGGTTATTTCCAGGATGAAGAGTGTGTGCGCCTTGATAAAGAGAGATTGGCTGCCCGTTTGGAGGGTCACAAAGAAGGGATTGTACAGACCGAACAGATTAGGTAAGAATTGTTTTTAAGTAGAAAGTAGGTAGTTTAGATATATGTAAAGGTATAAGGAAAAGGAATATTAAAATGCTCCCAACATTTATGTTTACCTCTTGGATTCATTGTATGCCTCTGTGCTCTTAGTTCATAAGAGTATGTGTGGGGATTGGAAGTTAATGTGTTTATCATGCTTTTTGAAAAGTCTTCTTGATTCTATTACCATGTTGGTCTTTCTTTTTAAAAATTGCTTTCTAAGTTGAGAAATTCATTTTATGTTATCTCTTATTGATTATGTACAGCAGAGGTCAGCAAACTTTTTCTGGAAAGTGCCACATATTAAATATTTTTAGCTTTGAAGGTAGTATGGTCTCTTGAAACTACTGAGCTTATGTGGTGTAGGGAAAGCAGCCATAGACAATACATAAATGGATGGGCATAGTTTCTTCACTTTTTAAAAATGTTTTCATTTTTCTGGATTCCGACTACTCAGACTCTACTTGAAGTTGTTTGACAGCTCACTTACGTTTTTTTCTTTTTTTGGATTCTTTTCTGTCTGTTTATATTCTTTTTTGAATTATTTTTGGATCGTTTCTGTTGTATTGAACTTTAATTTTTTTTTTTTGGAGATAGATTTTCGCTCTTTCGCCCAGGCTAGAGTGCAGTGGTGCGATCTTGACTCACTGCAGCCTCCGCCTTCTGGTTTCAAGCGATTCTCCTGCCTCAGCCTCCCAAGTAGCTGGGATTACAGGCACCTGCCACAATGCCCGGCTACTTTTAGTAGAGACGATGTTTTCACCATGTTGACCAGGCTGGTCTCAAACTCCTGACCTCGTGATCCACCCGCCTTGGCCTCCCAAAGTGCTGGGATTACAGGCGTGAGCCACCGCGCCTGGCTGAACTTTAATATTTTTTTCTTTGACAGTTCACTTATGTTCTTTTCTTTTTTTGAATTCATTTTCTGTCTGTTATAGTCTTTTTTGAGTTCTTTTTGGATAGTTTCTGTTGTGTTTTCAACTTTACTTAATTTTTTTTTCTGTAATCCCATGCGTGTTTAGTCTCCAGCGTTGTAGTTTTCATCTCAAGTTTGTTTTGCTCTTTTTTTTTTGAGATGGAGTTTGGCTCTTGTGACCCAGGCTGGAGTGCAATGGCGTGATCTCGGCTCACTGCAACTTCCGCCTCCCGGGTTCAAGCGATTCTCCTGCCTCAGCCTCCCGAGTGGCTGGGATTACAGGCGTATGCCACCACACCCGGCTAATTTTTGTATGTTTTGCTGTTTTTTAAAAAACATACCTACTTTATCTTTTTATTTAGCTTGTTGAAATATAGAACATAGTTCTTGTAATTATTTTCATGCCTTGAGATTAATTGATATTTCTCTTAATTCTGCTTTATTACATGTCTGCTTTATTACATTTTCCTGCTTTATTACATGTCATGTGATCTTTGATTGCACACCAAACATTGTGTATACTTTTTACCTTGTCGAGTGCTAGATATTGTTATATTTCCCCACATCGTCTTTAGCTTTTTTTGGGACACAGTTAAATCTCTTGGAAACAGTTTTGGTCTTGATTTTAACTTATCTGAACATTGGTCTGCTAGGGTAATTATTCCCCACCCACTGAGGCAAGACCATTCTGAGTACGTAATACCTCATGAACATGAGGTTTCATTCTGGCTAGTGGAACAGGCACTATTCTTCACCTTGTGTGGCCACTAGGCATTATTCTGTCTAATTATTCTGTCCAAGGCCATGTCTTGGAAACTTACAAGGCAATAAGCTGAGGCAGTCATAGGGCTTACCTTGTTTGTTTCTCATTTGTTAGGGAATTACTGTCCTTCATTGCTTGATATCTAGCATCTAGTAAACCATTGTTTTATGTATTTTGACTGGTTATTTAAAGGCTGGAGGGTTAGTCTAGTCTCTGGTACTTCATCTTGGCTGTAAGTAGAAGTTCTATGTTTCAAAGTCCATTGGAGGCTTGATTATAGTTTGGAGAAGTACAGTGGTCACCCAGCCACCTTCCGGGGATATGTTCCAAGACCTCCAGTGGGTGCCTGAAACCTCGGATAGTCCTGAACTCCAGCCAAGGAATCCCAAGGTCACCTTGTCATTTAAGGGAAGCACTTTGGGAGTGGCATATGCGAATTGCTAGCGTCACTACTCTTGTGTTTTGGGGCCATTATTAGGTAAAATAAGGGCTACTTGAACCTAAGTACTTTGATGCTGCCATTGTCAATCTGATAACCAAGATGGCTATTAAGCGACTACTGGGCAGGTAGTGTGTACAGTATCGATACATTGGACAAAAGGATCATTCATGTCTGGATATCCCAGGCAAGTGTCCCAGGCAGGACAGTACAAGATTTCAACAAGCTACTGAGCATGGCACATAATTTAAAACTTACGAATTATTTATTTCTGGAATTTTCCATTTAATATTTTGGACTGTGGTTGATAGCGGGTGACTGAAACTGGAAAGCCAAACAGTGGAGTACTGTATTTGAATTTGGCTTAAGGTATGCTGGTGTGCTTTAGATTTTAAGGGAAATCTGCACAGTATTACACAAAATGCATCAAATGCCAGGTGCATATGAGCACTACTATAAAGTACCTTCATACCTAATCTAAATAAAATTAGAATACTATATAATACTACTGTATTTAAACCTGCAGGGATTTTCATCCTTTTTCCAGATTTTGTGTAAACATAATTCAAGATTTTCATCTTGTGACTAAAGTAATATTTTTGTCTACTGTTATTAAGGTACCCAAACACTTTTTAATTCTTTTTCTCGTTTTACATGATAAAAGATACTTTGCTTAAGATTATCGTTTTATGACATGTATACTTTCAGTGTTAAGTCTTTTTTCATATTTCTGCAAACATAGTCTCTTTTTACTATTTTGCCTATTTGAAAATCAAGGAAAGGGAAGAAAAAGGAAACTGTATAAAATACGGTTTTATCTTCCAGAGATTAAAGGAGTATGTTTTTGTGACATAAAAGCCTGTCACTTAATTATGTTCTGCACTATGGCATACAAGTTTGAAACCTTGAAATAAATTTCAAGGAAAACCTAGGCTTTGAACTTTCTGTAGGATGGATTTTTTACCCCCTTCCAAAGTGGCCTCTGTGTGTGTGTGTAATTTCTATAGACAGAAAAAATACAAAGAAAAGCACCTATATTAATGAGTCCTGCTTTTTTGCGGTGAAGAGATGAAAAACCATCAAGAATTTTGTTGCACTGATACTTCTAAGAAATTACTAATTTGCTCTCAGTGTAGTATCTTGACATAAATTCTTTATAAAAATTTTATTGTAATTGCAGAATAGCAAGTCAGTCTTACAGATAAGAAAACCTTAATTATTGCCCTTAAAGTGTTTTTAACAGAAATTTATAAATGTAACAAAATATATTTATGATACACTCCGGGAATCCTTGCTGTGAAAATTTAAAAAAGAAATTGCTTTTAGGTCTTTATCTGAAGCTATGTCAGTGGAAAAAATTGCTGCAATCAAAGCCAAAATTATGGCTAAGAAAAGATCTACTATCAAGACTGATCTAGATGATGACATAACTGCCCTTAAACAGAGGAGTTTTGTGGATGCTGAGGTAGATGTGACCCGAGATATTGTCAGCAGAGAGAGAGTATGGAGGACACGAACAACCATCTTACAAAGCACAGGAAAGGTAATTTATTTTACTCATTCATTGGAGTGAGAGAGATCGAGAGAGAGAGAGTGTGTGTGTGTGTTTAATCTGTGGTTATAGAATTGGTTAAAGTTTGCTCTTAGGTGGAAGTTTCAAGTTTTATCTCTTTGAGAGCTCACTAATAATGTAGATTTCCAGATGGTGATTTTTACCATTCCATTCTTGAATATGGTTGTTATTCATCAGAGATGCTGATGAAAAAGTAGGAATCAAAATACAAGCTCCTTCACCTGAAACATGATTTGCAAATCAAAGAATGGTCTGGTTTTCCTGTTGAGTCATTTTTGCTTAAACCTAATAAACAAGGAATAATATTGATGACAAGTTCTCTGGTTATTAATGCCATCATTTTTTTCCCACATAGTAGAGAACTTATGGAAATCTGTAGCAAACATTTATTGAGTATATTTTATACACTATATTCTGTTGTGTGGGTATAGCAGTTTTTTCATTTGTTCCCTGTTAGTGGAAATTGTTTTCTTTTGTTTTTGCTCCAAAGAGGGTGCGATTTTTCTCCCTTTCTCTGGCCTTCCTTTCTTCTCTCTACCTCCCTCTGCCTTCCTCTCTTTCTCCTCCTGTTTCCCTCTCTTCCTCCTTCCCTTGCTTCCTTTTCACCGTTATGAATAATGCATCAGAAAACATTGTTGTACATATACCTTTGTGTATTTATGTGTATATAGACAAAGGATTAATTCTTGGAAACAAATTGCTGGTTAAAGGAGATATGCACTTTATATTTTGAAAGATAAAAATCTGAAATACTTGAATGTCCAGTATTTTCATGGATCTCCAAAAAGAGGATGCATTTACCCTGATTTATGTACTTACTTTCATTTGTCTTTTCCTCTTCAGTGCCTCAATTTTCTCTTAAATGTTTTCTCCACTGATGCACACTCGTTAATAGTGATGATCTAGTAAGAATGTTGAAGTGTGCAAGGTTACTTGTGAAACGGAAATTTAACACAGTTTTAGGCAAATTGGTTTTGGTTGTAGAATTTTGGGATTTTAGCCTTCAATTTACATTGCTATTTTAGTAGAAGTAAAGTTATGAAAAGAGTATATGAAGAAAATAATCATTTCTTTTTCTTTTGTACTTTGACTTGTTTTACAAAGTACCTAAGGTTAAGTTTAAGAATCATTCTCCAGAGCTTAGAATTGTAGAGAAATCTGAGGATGTGAGTGAACTTCCATTTTTGCTCTTTACAATAAAATGATTTGTTGATACTGATTTTCACTGTCTAGTATGGCTAATACTTGAGTAATATTGTGACTTATGTTGATCCACCAGTGTTCATTCAAATCAAAAAATCTCAAACTCATAGTAGAGGAATAAAAACAGGTGATATACCCTACCTAACTTTTAGACCAGACATTACTTTTTCAAGTAATTGAGGTGAACAATTTTCTTTGAGCTCTAGGTGGCAGGATTGTACCATCCTTTCTAAACTTACTGATTTAATATTGTTGGTACCACTATATCTTTTAAAAAGTAAGTTAATAAAAGAATTGTAGCTCGGCTTGCGTAAATGAGTATTATTAGCATTTAAAAAAATACTTTGATAGTCTGTGTATTGTTTTTATCAGGTACACTCTAAAAATACTCTTAGGCAGGTGAGAATAAAAAAAATACTCTAGATACTTAAAGCCTTGTGGATTTTAGATAGACCTTCATTATTACTAGTTATCAGGGCTTTCTTATTTTTTGAGTTTCAGGAACAAAAGTTGGGTTGAAGATTCATGAGAGGCTGGGTGCGGTGGCTCACGCCTGTAATCCCAGCACTTTGGGAAGTCAAGGCAGGTAGACCAGTTGAGGTCAGGAGTTCAGTTCCAACCTGGACAACATGGTGAAACCCCGTCTCTACTAAAAACACAAAAATTAGCTGGGCATGGTGGCGTGCTCTTGTAATCCCAGCTACCCAGGAGGCTGAGCCAGGAGAATCGCTTGAACCTGGGAGGTGGAAGTTACAATGAGCTGAGATTGTGCCATTGCACTCTAGCCTGGGTGACAGAGTAAGACTCTGTCTAAAAAAAAAAAAAAAAAAAGATTTCATGAGAAGTATAAATATGTTATTTTTTTCAAGGACCCCAAATAAAGCAACTTGATTTTATAATGCCATTTAGAAAACACACTTTTAAACTTACATAAATTAGGTGAAAGATTTATACCATCTGAAGAGAAATGTATATAAACATATATAAATTAGTGTATGTTCATCGTTGAAAAACTGATAAAAGGATATTACTAGAAGGAAGATGTTAATCACCTGTAATTCTACTACATAGCAGATTGATGATAATATTGATTAATATCTCTTTATTTTTAAAGTAGTGAGATTTGCTTTTCATATATTTCCAACTATTTTTATAATAAGACTAAGATTTTATGTGCATTTTTCACTGTATTGACCTTTGCAGTGATGGCGCAAAATCAATGGTTGGTAAAACTGCTGGTCTTGGTGTGAATCAAGGCAATGGCACTTAACTTTACTGGTAGCCATTGTGTTCTTTACTCACTAATGTCCTTGATGATGTTTTTAAAATTTATGAATTTTGTTAAATCTTGACCCTCAAGTATGTCTTTTTAATATTTTGTGTGATGAAATTGGAATGTAGAAAGCACTTCTGCAAACATGATGGTTATTCTCATCAAGAGACTTGTGCCATTGTATGAAGTATGAACTGAATCAACATTTTTTTATTAGAGTGTTATTCAGACTTGGTTATTTGGCAGATTTTTTTTTTTTTTGAAAGTGAAGGAAATAAATATGTTCCTTTAAGGAAAGCAACTGATAGTATTTGTTGCCAATGATAAAATGAGAGCTTTCATGAGAAAATTAGAATTTTGGGAAGTTTCTTTATGCTGCTGTCACCATAACACTTTTCTGATCCTTTTTCTACCCATAAGTAAAGAAACAAGCAATTTTCTAGTTCTTAAAGTCTTCTAGTGAGTCTTTTACAAATAATATTAACAAGTATAGTTTGTTGATACTGTATAATTAACCATGTTAATATTTGGAAAATGTGCATAATTCAGTGACTGATATTTTCCAGATGACCAGTGAATGCTGTCACAAATCATACATGGGTAAAAAGTTCATTTAAAGTGCAAGAGAGACTGATGGATTTTAAAGTACCTATACAAAAAGTTTATGGATGTGGTTTCCATGTTGCATTAACCTTTAAGAACCATTTATTGCATTATGGTATGATATCAAAGAAGACTATCCACAGTTACCTGAAAAACTACTAGAATGTTCTTCCCTTTTCCAACTGTTTGTGTGAGGATACGTTTTCTCTGTATTCTTTGACCAAATAAGAGAGCACAGTGAATGTTGAATGTAGAAGCCTATCTGAGAATATAGCTGTCTTCTATTAAGCCAGAGATTAAGGAAATTTGCAAAAATTAAAAACCTGCCACTGTTTCTTGTCATTACCTTTATGCATTTTGAAAAGTGATTTTTCATGAAATATGCTATTATGTTTACATGAAATCTTGTCTTCTTATTTTTAAAAGAATTTAAATTTTTTTCAGTTTTAATCTTTAATTCAATAGATACTGTAATTCACACAAACTTAAAGCTCTTTGGGGTCCTCAGTAATTTGTAAGAGTGCAAAGGGGTCCTGAGACTTATATTTGCTGCTCCAGAGAATTATAGGAATTAGTTAGCACTGCAACTGATATAGTGATAATAGTGATGTTTCAAGCAGCCTCTCATTTTATATACATATTTATTTGTATAGTATTTAACATCTACAAACTAGGCCAGTGCTAAGCACTGACCGGAGGTGCATTGGTCTTAGCTCTCACAGAAGTTACACTCTTTAGCAGAAGTCAAAATTAAATAAGCAGTAATTATTAGGTACATTGTAGGGCAGACACCCAGCAAGGGCAGTTAACTTAATTGAGAGTAAAGAGGAGTGACACCTAAAGAATAAAACCTAGTGAGAGAGGTGAAAGGGATAAGGTGGGAAGAGTGGTACAAGCCAAGGAAACAGAATGCTTTGTTTAAAGAAGAGAAATTATGTTGTATTTGAGGTTCATGAGGGCAGTGACCATGTCTTTTTTGATCATGATTGTACCCAAGTGCCAAGCAAGGTATTTGGCTTAGAGTAGATTCTTACTACATATTCCTTCAAATGTTAAGCGATTGATAGGCAGCATAAGAAGAGCCCCAAAGGAACTGTCAGACATTAGGGGTAAAACCAAGAGAGAGTAGCATCTCAGAGGCCAAGTGTCTTTGTCTGTTTTCTGCTGTTGTGGATATCACAGACTGGGTAATTTGTGAAGACAAGAAATTTCTCACATTTCTGTAGGCTGGGAAATCCAAGAGCATAGCAGTGGCATCTGGTGAGGGTCATTTCATGGCAGAAGGCAGAAGCAAGCAAGCAAGCAAATGAGACACAGAGAGAAATGGGGCCAAACTTCTTATATTGGGAATCTGAGTCCACTTTTGCAATAACAACATTAATCCATTCGTAAGGGTGGAGCCCTTATGACCTACCTAATCACCTCTTAAAGTCTCCACCTCCTAATACTATTACAATGGAGTAAAATTTCGACATGAGTTTTAGAGGAGACATTCAATCTGTAGCATGAAGGAAGACTGTTTCTTGAAGGAAAAAGTAGTCAGATTAGTTAGCTGTGTTGACTTTTGATCAGCATGTAATTGCATCATAAGTCGAAGAGCATTTGTACTTGTACTTTCCAACTTTATCATGGCTCACTGCAAGCTCCACCTCCCAGATTCATGCCATTCCCCTGCCTCACCCTCCCGAGTAGCTGGGACTACAGGTGCCTGCCACCACACCCGGCTAATTTTTTGTAGTTTTGGTAGAGACAGAGTTTCACCATGTTAGCCAGAATGGCCCTGATCTCCTGACCTCGTGATCCACCCGCCTTGGCTTCCCAAAGTGCTGAGATTACAGGCGTGAGCCACTGCGCCTGGCCTTATTTAGATTTTTACTTGTTTTCTGTTTTTATATTTGAACAGATGCCGAATATGAAATATATGAATACATTTGTAGCAGTTTAAGTAAAACGAAAATGATGAATACCATGGGATTTACAATAATCAGTCTCTGGATGAATATCTTAGTGGCTGATTTTTACATTTGTGTATAATAATGGTACCTTATTATGACATATATAGTAGGGAAGAATTGATAGGAAGATAACTTAGTCTTAAATTATTTATTAAGTAAATTTACTATTGTATATTTAAAGTGGGCTTAATTAAAATCCATTTATATTTTAGAATTTTTCCAAGAACATTTTTGCAATTCTTCAATCTGTAAAAGCCAGAGAAGAAGGGCGTGCACCTGAACAGCGACCAGCCCCAAATGCAGCACCTGTGGTAAGAATGCTTTACTGCTTTACAGTAATTTTAATGAAGTTGCCACTTACATTGCAGTGTAGTAACATTGAAGACATCTTCACATTTTAAAATCAGTGGATTCTAAACCTTTTGCTGCTTCAGAATATCTGAAAGATTTGAAAGCCCTTCCCAGCATTAAAAGTTACTTACTTCAGCAGTAATTCTTAACCACAGCAGTAATTCTTAATATACCTGGGTCAGAGTCTGAAAAAGGTTAATTAAGGAAAACCTTTATTTATTTTAAGTAAACTGTGGCTGGCCTACTCATTGTTGCTTGGGACAATCACTAACCATTGTTAATAACATAAATCTCTGTTACCTCCCAGTTTGGGGTTCTTTTTGACATTATATCTGTTACACCTTGGTGAATGTATTTCTCCTGGTCACCAGCCATACTTTCCTTTAATTGTGCCTCCATTTCAGCTGCTCTGAGAGTTGACTGCCTTCTCTTTGAAATGCCATTTAAGACCCTCCCAAAGTAAATTTCATGTATGACATACAGCCTGTATTTAAATTCAAACATACTCTAATTTTGTTGAAAATCCTTCCAGCTATTTTCATATGATTCAACAAAGGAACAAAACACAAATGAAATTGTTTGTTTTCTGCAATAGAAAATAGAAGATTCTATAAATAGAAAATTTATTAAAAAAAATTTTTTTTTGAGATAGAGTCTCACTCTGTTTTGCCAGGCCTGAGTCACTGGCCTGATCTTGGCTCACTGCAACCTCTACCTCCTGGGTTCCAGTGATTCTTCTGCCTCAGCCTCCCAAGTAGCTGGGATTACAGGCACATGCCACCATGCCTGGCTAATTTTTGTATTTTTAGTAGAGATGGGGTTTCATCATGTTGGCCAGGCTGGTCTTGAACTTCTAATCTCAGGTGATCTGCCTGCCTCAGCCTGTCAAAGAATCTTCTATATTTTTAAAACTATGTCAGGTTTTAAAAGGCATATTGAAATGTATTAGAGTACTAATACAGCCTTTGCAACTACTTTGTAGTAGTTTTATTTGCTCATGAAATTGTTGGAATTTAACTTTTAAAGATGGTAGACTTTTGTTGATAATTAGATAAATACTTTTAGTTGATTCTCCATCAAGTACTTAAGTGTCTACTATTAGACAGTCTGCTAGTGATCCTGAGATACAATAATGAGAAAGATTATAGTCCCTACTTTCTTTGAGCTTGTAGTCTAATACAGCAGTCCCTAACCTTTTTGGCACCAGGGACCAGTTTCGTGGAAGACAGTTTTTTCACGAATTGGGGGAGGGTTTTGGAATGAAACTGTTCCACCTTAGATCATCAGGGTTTAGTTAGATTCTCATAATGACCATGTAACCTAGATCCCTCAGCAGTTCCTTACTTATTAGATGTTTTTTTTTTTTTTTTTAAAGGTAGTGAAGTAAGAGCTATGATGGCAAAGCACAGGGTACTTAGAATTATGAATTGGTTGACATTTCGAATAGCAGTTGATAGGAAACATGTCAAACCTTAAAACAGTTCTACCATTTGTGACTGAATATTCTTTCTGTATATTTATATAATCGTTAGAATACTTGAAGGTTTTAATGTTTGGCCCTTGACTATAGAAGTATATGCCTAGTGTGAAGTAAGCGTCTATTTATCATTCTTGATAGGTATTGATAAGTATATTTGGCATAATATTTGATATAGAATCCTATTGTAATAAAATGAAAAGTATTTCAGTCTTCATGAATTTTCCAAGTAGCTTTGAGAATATTGTTAAATATGTGTTTTTAGTTTGTTAAACATTGTGAGTTTTGATAAAGTATTTGTGATTAAATAATGCATCATTAGACTAACAGCCTTTTCTAATTATTTTAAAAAGGATACCTCTTACTTCAGTCTTACTCTGTTTATAATGGATTAATCATCATGGCTTTCATGTTTATTTAAGGATTAATAGTTTGGTGGATAATTCAGCTAAAAGTCTCTAAAACTAAACTCAACATACTTTGAATTTAAGGGTTTTTTGTTTTGTTTTGTTAAAACAATTATTATTGGAAGGAAGAGTATTAGGTCATAAAGATACTTTAGCCAGGTATAGTGGCTCATACCTGTAATCCTAGCACTTTGGGAGACTGAGGTCGATCACCTGAGGCTAGGATTCAAAACCAGCTTGAGCAGCGTGGTGAAACTTTGTCTCTATAAAAAAATTAAAGAAAAAAAATTAGCTGAGTGTGGTGGTACATGCCTGTGGTCCCAGCTACTTGGAAGGCTGAGCGGGGAGGATCACTTGGGCCCAGGAGGTCTTGGCTGCAGTGAGCCATGGTCACACTACTGCACTCCAGCACATTAAATAAGTGATGTTTAAAAATACTAACAAATAACTCATAATTAATTTTTTTACAGGATCCTACTTTGCGCACCAAACAGCCTATCCCAGCTGCCTATAACAGATACGATCAGGAAAGATTCAAAGGAAAAGAAGGCAAGTTGCTTAATTCTTATCTTCCCCTTACTGTGGTTGTGTTGAACTTGAGAGACAGTATGGGCTGATGTTTGGGTAGGGCAAGGGTTGGCAAAGTAATGTCTACAGACCAGATCTTACTCACTGCAATTTTTCATAAATAACATTTTGTTGGGACACAGCCACACTCATTCATTTATGTATTTTATATATGGCTGCTTTGGCTTTGTGACATCAGTATAAAATTGTTTCAGTAGAGACTGTGTAGCCTACAAAGCCTAAAAATATTATTTAGCCCTTTACAGAAAAAAGTTGGCCAACCCTTGGTTAATAGCATGGATTCTGGATCCAGATAGCTTATGTCATATTAAATTTTTGTGTGAATTTTAATGTTACTTTAACTGCATTCTGCCTTAGTTTTCTCCTGTGTGTAATTAAAATATTACTATAGTACCTGTCTCTTATGGTTATTGTGAGTATTGGACTGGTTAATAAATACTAAGTTCCCAGAATAGTATCTGATAGGTAAGTAAATTATCTATAAATGTTTGCTGTTATTCATACTGCTTTTGTTTTTATATAAAGTAGAGATTTTATGTGTTAAGTCATGTTTCTCAAGTTATAAATGTGTATGTGCATTGAGAACTTGGAAACAGATTTTGAGCAATGATGGGAGGACTTATTTTGTGATGGTCTACGTGATATTGTGGCTAATGCAATAGTGAACCATTTCTGCAGTTGTGAGGTGAGACTAATGTCAGTGTAACTTCCTCTTGGAATCTTCATTCATCATGACTTGATTCATGAAAATATTAAGTAGAAGCAGCTGGAAGTTAATGATATTTTTATGCATAATCTGAAATCTTAAGTTTTTTTTAAATGATATGTTGCCTTGATGCAATGAATTTTGTGTGCTGACTTCATTTAGTTGATAAAGGCATGCACTGGATATGTGCCATAGAAAGACTACGTCCATTCTTTCGTTATAATATTCAATGTTTTTCTTGGGGAATGAATTATATAAAGCAGAGGTTGGTAAATTACATCTCCGAAACTAAATATAACCCTCCATGGGCCAAATTGGGTTGTCCCCATTTGATCACATATATTGTTTATTCTGTTTTTGCGCTACAGATACAGAATTGGGTAGTTGTGACAGAGATTTTAAGGCTCGCAGTATGTAAAATATTTGCCTTTGCAGAAAGGCATATTGGGATTCTGTCCTGGCACTCCAATCATTATTTACAACACTGCTGTCTATAAAATATATAATATGGTTGATTGCTGTGGCTCACACCTGTAATCCCAGCACTTTTGGAGGTGGAGGCAGGAGGATTGCTTGAGTTCAGTACTTTGTGACCAGCCTGACCAAGATGGCAAGACCCCATCTCTACCAAAAATACAAAAAAATAGCTGGGTACAGTGGTGCATGCCAGTGGTCCTAGCTACTCAGGAGGCTGAGGTGGGAGGATTGCTTGAACCTGCGGAGGAGGGATGGGAGAAGAGGTTGCAGTGAACTGAGATTGTGCCACTGTATTCCAGGCTAGGTGACAAGAGTGAGACCCTATCTCAAAAGAAAAAAAAAATGTGTGTGTGTATATATATGTATGTATGTATATAAAAATAAGTATATGCCTATGACTGAAACTTTGGAACACTACTTTTTATAACTTTGGGTCTTCTCATGGTATTAGGTGCTTTTAATGGTACTGTCATTGAGTATTAGTAGTAAGTAATTTGGGTGTTATAAAGTATTCAATCTAATTTTTGAATGTAATTGCAGAGATAGTCTTAACCAGCTTCTACACAATAGGCTTGCTGGTCTGTATTTAATATATTAGTATTTTTTACCCTAGTGTCCTTTCTAAAGTTTTTATCTTCACAAATATGGAATTTAATTTTACATAGTAGATTCAAGGCTTTGTTATACTATTGAACCATGACATTCAATGTAGATTATTACTTTAGATTTGTTATAGGTCATAAGATACATGATCTATAAAATCTTAACAGTAAGCCTCTTTTTTTCATAGAAACGGAAGGCTTCAAAATTGACACTATGGGAACCTACCATGGTATGACACTGAAATCTGTAACGGTAAGTTAATTTGGCTGTAGATTTCTTTTGTTCCAGGGATTTTATGTGAGTAGCACATGTTGAAGAAAATATTCTCTTATATTTTTTATTTCAAACATTTTTCTTTGTTGATCACTTGTGCTGATTGATCTGTGTGGTGTATTGATTCATGGGTATCCTGTTTCGTGTTTCTTTTCCTTCAAACTAAGTTGAATATATGTAAACAAAAGCTGATTCGATTAACTTGCAAGTAGGGCAGTGCCACCTCGTCAGTATTTAAAGCCATTAAGTTAGGAGGTCAGTTTGGGAGAGCTTTTTGGCATAATATTCTTTGTTTTTAAAAATGTAATGTCTTACGCTCTTTAAAGAGATGGATTATAGTGATTATAATGCTTACAGAGTATGTAATTAACAGAACTAAATACTTGGGTATCTGTGAATATAAGCCTTTGGTTCACGTTTAGCAAACTTTCTTTTTTTAACCTCCTAAAAATGGTTATTTCTATATATTCTGACCAAGCCATATTTAACACTTTTAATTTTTATTTAGTTAATGATTGGATTGGATTCTAGTAATCTCATTTTGCATATTTATATTCTAGATCGTTATACCTTTTATACTTTTGTTTATATTCTAGATTATACTTTTAAAATACTATGATGTGTATTAAATAGAGTATACTTAAGACACTAATAACCAAACTTTTGTCTTTGCTTGTGAATCATCAGATCTTTATGGACTCTATGTAACATGGAATCATTATATAAGTGCTGTGATTTCTCAGAACTAACATATAACTTTATACCTACGTGGAATTTTTCATGTTTTACTCACTCATTTCCAAAAGCCAATAGCAAGTATAGAGATCTGATTTTAAGTCTGTTTTTTTCTGGACTTCAAATTGGGATTGGATATCAGATGTTTTGTTAATATACTTGTTTTTAAATTGTCATCAGATTTGTTTCTTTGTTTCTGTATTATTAAATTATATGTAGATTAATGAATTCATTCAAGAAGTACTTATTGAGCATTTGTGTCGGATCCTGTCCTTGTTGCTGGTCATACAGCTGTGAATAAATCAGATGAGGCTTGTTTAGATGAGAAGTCAGAGATACTTCTCTCAGGAGGTAACAGTTGAGCAGAGACTTGGATTGCATTCCTCTGCGTCAAGGCAGAGATCAAGACTGAGGTCCAGTTGGGCAACAGCAAGGCGGCCAGTGTTGTTAGAGTTTAGAGAATTAGGGCAAAAGTCATGAGGGATTAGATACTCCTATCTTATGCAGTCTGCCTGGTTCTTCCTGACTTCAATATATAATTCATGGCTAAAGATTTAGTTTTAAATTCTTACATGATTTGGTTATTGACATCTTGGGAACAGAACTTGCCTACTAATCATTTCCCTAAGTGCGACAGGACTTGCCCGCTGATCATTCCCTAAGTGAATTAGTCGTAGAATGAAGTTGTTATCCTTGGGGAGCCATCAAAGTAAGTTTTTTGTTATTTTTGTTATTGTTGTCTTTGCTTTTCTCATCCATCCCTGTAGCTCTGAAATGCCATGAAATGGTTTTATTATCTGAGCTTCTTTGCAAATAGTAAAATCTGTGATGGTTTTTATAGTGGTCCTTTGTACAGAGCAGGTTTTCTAAAATTTAAGGATAGCTTCTTCATTGATCAGTATGAGAATGACATGATTCTGTTACATCATCAGAGACTGTGCTAAATACAAAGACAGGTGAATTTAAGCAATGTACTGAAGTATGCTGAAAAAGAGAGGTGAATTTAAGCAAATTCATGCTGTGTCATTTTTAAAGAATAATCATGAAAAAAGCATTGTGTAGGAATGCAACAGAAAGACTAAAAATGGTTAAATTGCTGATAGTTATATTAATACCCAGTTTGAATATCTGTGGTGTTTGTGATCTGATTTATGCAGTTATTAGAATTAATACCTAGAGAAATTTGAACTTGAAAGCTTTGAAGTTCTCAGATAATTATTTTTAAGTTGTGTCTCAGACTTACGTTTCCAATTTAATATTTTTTTCTCTTCTTTTCTGCTTTGGAATTACTACCTATTTGTGAGCTCGTGAGTTGTACCAACTTTCTACCTTATTCTCCAGTCAAGAAAGTTTCTCCATTATAGTATCCACCCAGACATACAAGGATGTTAAATACATGTTAAAAGGCTTTGCTGCCCAGATGTAACTTCCTTTCTAATTTATGTATAGTTCATTTTTGCTGCCATTGTTCTCCAATGTTTTGATATGCCTGGTTAATATACATAGTTAGTAAAATTAGAATCAATCTATGTATCTTTTAAGTTAAACATCAGATTTCTGATACATGCAAGACTAAATTATGCAGACAGCTAGAATATTTTTATGCAGATAGATTATTTCCTATATATTTTATAGAGAAGGATATATGTTTTGGTAATCACATTTCATAAGAATCATGAAGTAGTGAAAGTTTTTATACAAGTAAAGGCCCCAGGGAGAGTGCTTTGATAATATTTTATGAAAATAAGAATTATTCAAACTTATGGCAACAGAAACCCAGGTATCTTTAAAGTTACAAATTTGTATAGTTGGTTTTCTGGTTAACTTTTGACTTAGGCCATGAAATATGTTTCACAGTAAAGATTCCAGAGGCCCAAGCCATGAAATTGTTGATTTGATAGAGAACTTTTCCCAGTTTGGAGCTTTTTCCCCAAATTTGTTACTTGGGTTCTATAATATTTAAGAAACACTAGGTTAGGCCAGGCGCAGTGGCTCATGCCTGTAATCCCAGCACTTTGGAGGCCAAGGCAGGCAGATCACTTGAGGCCAGGAGTTCAAGACCAGCTTGGTTAATGTGGCAAAACCCCATCTACTAAAAATACAAAAATTAGCCAGGACGTGGTGGCGCACACCTGTAATCCCAGCTACTCTGGAGGCTGAGGTAGGAGAATTGCTTGAACTCAGGAGGCGGAGGCTGCAGTGAGCCAAGATTAAGCCACTGCAGTCCAGTCTGGGTGACAGAGTGAGACTCTGTCTCAAAAACAAACAAAAAAACTCCACTATATTAAACAGATTTTGTGGTTCACGAATCTCATTGTTTTTAATGTATGAGTATCTAAATTGGAAGAATATGCAGTCTTTCTAAGCTTATTTAACCCGCTGAGTTTGCCCCTACCCTAACACCTAGGGAGTATTCTTGGAAAGAACTAGTGTTTCATAGAATCAGGTTAAGTAAAGCTATCTCAGAATTATGTGGAGGTAGAAACCATTCATTGGGGGAAATAACAATATATTTTCATGGTTTCGTTTTGTGAAAGGGTCATATTAGACAAAGAATGTCACTTGACAAAGTTTTTATTGTATAGTAAATGAGAGAATATGATGAAGACCTGTTTTTGTTAGTTGTATAGTAGCAAGGAACCAATTTATGGTTCCACTGGAGAATTAGAAGATGGTGATCACAGTTCACTCTTATTAATAAGGATTTGGTGGTTGCATTGAGAACCACTTCATTTTAACCTGTCTAGCCTGTTCATATTTAACTGGAAGGGTTACAAACTCTAACCTCTATTTGTTCTTAGTGAGTATCATTGACTCTTGATTACCTTTACTGTCTTCATTTTTGAGGAAGCATCTCACACCCTGCAATTATAGAGATTAAAAGGTTTCCTTTAAGATCTTTGCTTGAATTTATTCCAATAGTCATCATCGTTGTTACAATAAGTATGTTTTGGGGAACAATTTTTTTGATAGTGAGTAAACTTAGGTAGTTTTATACAGTTTGTTAGAGGTGTAATATTATCACCATCAATTCTCAGGAGGATGCAGAATCTCAGGCTGTCAACCAGGTTATATTCTTAAAAGCAGGAACACATACATTAGCACCTTCCCCACCCCACCACTGTTTTATAAAGCTTTCTTCATTCCCATTTGGTTGTTGATTAATTTGTTCATCTCTGCTTGAATTGTTACGAGAGTGCTGTAGTAGCAGTAATGTTCTGGAGTTGAGTGTAGAGTTCAGCCCTGCAGATAATGGAGAATTTTTAAAAGCTGTCTTCCTTAGGGCTCTATTTCCTCTTCTTCCTCTTTCCTTTAGCAAGTATTTCTTGAGTGCATGCTGTGTGCCTTGCAGTGTGTCGAGTGCTGGGACATCAACGATGAACAAAACCAGACATGTTCTTATGGACTTAATGATCTGGTTGGGGAGGGACACATTAGTCATACTATAAAATTGTGACTATGCCAAGTATTAGAGGTATATTGTGCAACAAGAGCCTAAAATTGGATTTGTTGCAGGAGTTAGAATACTTCATTAAGGAGTTAATGCTTGAATAAGATCAGAAGTTTGTGTAAGATTTAACTTGGTGATGACAGGAAAACACATTTTAGGAACAGTGAACAAAAAGCAGGAGTAAAAGCCCTGTGATGGGGAGAGCATGGGGAGTAGAAAGATTTGAAAGAAGACTGGTTATTATGTATATTTTTAGGATGCTTGTAGGAAAGTTTCTTTTTCTTCTTCCTGCCTGTTCATAAATATTATGAACAGGCAGTATATTTATGAACAGGCAGGAAGAAGAAGATGGTAACGTAGATCATCCAGAAGCATTTTAGCTTACTTCTGGAGTCATTCATTTTGCCAGTCTAAATGTGGCCACAGATAACGTTTTATTAGGCATCCATTGTAATTTAAATTTTTATCTTACTCACCACCATTTACAAATTAGAGCTTGTCACATGAACAGTCTGCATTTCCAGCTTCCTTAAAATCTATCTGGCATGAATGGGTACTGGGTCTGTAGTCTCACATGGCAACAGCCACATCCACCTGAGCAGGAGCTACCTCCTCTAGATAAGAGGTTTTCTCTAGATTGCCACAGGCCTTATTACTTTGTTATCTTTTATTTAGCCTTCTTTACTTATTTCTACTATATCTATAGATTGTTTTGGCCATCCGGTTTGAAATTCCTGCTCTAGAGGCAGTACCAGTTTGTTAAAGATAAGTTAATCAGTTGGAAATACAACAA